CCCCAGCAGACCAGGGAGACTGGGAGAAGCTTTTCTCGCCCCGGAGGACACGTGTGGCGACCCGCCGCCCGTGAGCTCCGGGGCGAGAAAAGTTCCGTTCGTAAGTGCCAATCCGACATAAGTCGGATCCGCGTAAGTCGGGGACTGCCTGTATAAGCAATAGTTTATTGATTAAAACAGTTATCCAGCTAGTTGCTAACATTCCGGCTGCATCTAGACTGGCATGATTTTGCGGAAATACTTTTAACAGAAAAGTTTTTCTGTTAAAAGTATTTCCGCAAAAGCCCGTCTAGATTGGCAAGGATGCTTTTGTGCAAAAAGTGCTTTTGCGCAAAAGCATCCGTGGCCAGTCTAGACGCAATTTTGCGCAAGAAAGCCCTAATCGCCGTTTTAGCCATCGGGGCTTTTTTGCACAAAACAATTCTTCCCTATCTACACTGGCCCTCTTGAGCAAGTATTCTTGCGCAAGAGGGCTTTTTCCTGAGCGGGAGTGTGAAAGTATTTGCGCAAGAAGCACTGATTTTGTACATTACAAAGTTAGTGTTCTTGCGCAAATTCAAGCAGACAGTGTAGACAGCTGGCAAGTTTTTGCTCAAAAGTGGCTGCTTTTGCATAAAATCTTGCCAGTCTAGATGCACCCCCTTAGTTTCCTACCTCTCTTCTGCTGAAATTCCCCTACTTTTTTATTGTCTCTGCTTGCAATGGAATTTTGGGACAATGATCTTAAAGTTGCATTAATTCTTCAATAACATAAGCAGCAAGAAGATTCTTATCAAGAGAGATTCCTGAGGCTTGTAAAGTCTTTTTTTCCCCAACAGTACTTGAAAGAACTTGTTGATAGGCTTGTGGCTTTCTGATTCAAGTCCCAGCCTGGTAAAGTATACACATGTTCTCCACTTTCCTAAGTGAGACTATCGTAAAAGTTACTGGCAGATGTGAAGTTCATAAATATTTTGTAATAAACAATTTGTGCAGAGTACACATGCAAACAATCATGTGAGTTGTATTTTTTGGGGCCAGTCTAGACGTAGCCTATGTGGTTTAATCACCAAGCTCCAGTGTGCACCACAGGTTATAAAGTCTCGCGCTGCAGCAGAAGCCAAGAGCCCTGAATGGTATGGGGTGAGAGTTATGGAGTAGGAATAGTATGTCTGCTTTATATATTCAGTATTTTTCTGGGCTAAACATATTACCTATTATTTCAATTCAGGGTTCCCAGGATAATGCAGCCTGCTGGCTTCTCAATGAGTTTCTCCAGAACAGGGATTCTCCTTAGGAGAGAATTACACACACCTGGTTCTATGATGATGAAAGTTTGGAACTTTTAACCAAAAATGGCTGCTAATGTTTCCTGTTATAATCACTCTCTTTTGCTCACAGTATTATTGATGGGGCATCCTTTGTCACCACAAAAGTGATTTACAGGGCCTATCACTGTACCTCCAAAATTAGCAGTGCAGTTCCCCTAGTTGCTGGTAGGTGGCAATTATTGCCTAGAAAAGCCAATTTATTTAAATTATGACATTTGTTATGTCGTTGTTTAAGGTATATGGGCACCTAGAATCAGTGTCCTCTCTCAACAAATAATTTTTCCATCTTTCCTATCTTGTTTCCTGGTTATA